GCTGGAGGCAAGTCCTACCGCTGAGTTTAGCGATTTTATATACACCGGAGTCGAAAATGAATTGTGTGTGTATGGAGTTCAAAGAGTGTCGTTCTTATAATTTTTTTTGTATAAATTTAGACAGGAATTTCTTTACCCCTCTGAGTGTGCCTCTATTAAGTTCGATAAGATAAAGCTATATACATCAACTATATTCATCTCAGTCCAGTATTTCGGGTGGAGCCGTGGACGTCTGTTTGATGGGTGGAGGCAGAGACGATACAAATGCACATATATATATATATATTATATATATATATATATATATTAATCTATAAATTAAACAAATCGGTGAGATCGACGCAGTGATTCAATTTTGAACGTTCTGAGTAAACAACCTTCTAAATTTGCGATTTGGCATTGTTTAAATGGTATTCGCTCAGATTCTGAGAGTACTACTAGCATTCTGAGCATTTTCAAATTTTGAATTTCAATTAATTTTGAACTGCTGAGAGTAAAATTCTCATTTTTGGAAGAAATCGAAACAAACCTCATTATTTATCCAACGACTCAGCTTAACTCAGTGGCAATTTTAAAATGATTTTATAAACTAATCTAAAACAAATCGGGGTGTTCTGAGCAAACAACCTCATAAATTTGCGCATTTGGCATTGTTTAAATGGTATTCGCTCAGATTCTGAGGGTATTTCAAACATTCTGAGCATTTTCAAATCAATTAGATGACATGAGTTTGCTCAGTAGTTCAATTTTGAACTAACTTAAGCAGACAGACATCGACCAAAGAGGCAAAACAAACATAAACAAATCAAATGGCTCAGTGGCTCAATTTTGAGTCTCATTTCTGTGAATGTAAATAAAGCTCATATTTGAGTCTCATTTCTGAGAATGTAGGTAAAAAGTGGAACTGACATTACTGCTTAACGCTCTGAGCATTGTTCAGTGATTGAATTTTCAACTATTAAATGTAAATTTCTTATTTTGGAGAGCTTAACGTAAACTAATCAAAACGCTGAGGTCGACTCAGCTTTTAAGTTTAAACGCCCTGAGCAAAGAACCTTAATTAGCACTATTTAAATGTAACTTACTCAGATTCTGAGAGTATTAAACACATCAAAAAATTTAAATTGTCTCAGTGGCTTCACATTCTAAGCAAGAATAAAACTGGTTAAATAAAATTCAGGTAAGCTCAGTGATTTAATACTGAACTGGTTTAAGGACATGCCTTAAAAGACCACTGAGTAGAACTGTTTAATTTTAAATTATCCTGAGAATATAACATTAATCATGTAGATGCCATCCAATAACGCAGTAATTTAATTAAAAATAAAAAAGACAATATAAAAAAAATAATTAACTCAGTGGTTTAATTTTTAAACTGTCCTGAGCAAGGTTATAACCGTTTTCCACCATTCAGACTACCCTCACAGCGATTTAATTTTTGTTTTTTGTGAGCAAATATCAACGTTTCATAGCTATCACAATTCAGGTTAGAGTTAGTTTTATTCTTGCTTTTTGCATTAGAATTATTTTTAGAATTTGAATCAAATGTGAAATCAATACACTCCCTACATTTTCTTAGCCTTCTAGATCGGGTGATTATCTTAACCTTTCGGAATCTTATCAAGACTTTTTACGCTCTTTAACCTTTTCTTTAACAATGCCATTTTTCGCTCACTTTGCGTAGTAAAGTCAGATCGACTTCGTTAAAATTGCATTTATCAGAAATTTTACCTTTGTTTATGATTTTTATCCGCCACACGTAACCCATCGAATAAATTGCTACTTTATCGCCTCGTCCTCTTTCGATTCAAAGTGGCCATTTTTCTTCATCATGGCACATTGATTTAAACGTCGTTGGAGGGGCTATTCCGTGTAATTTGCGCCAACGACGACATCACTAATAATCGGAATAAAATGCGCACACCTGATGTGTATGTTTTATTTAGACTTCGGCCAAAGGATAATCGCGTTATGTCGACCGTCGTCCTTCCAATTATCATCTTTTTCGACGTCACGATAATTAGCCTCTTTGCCGTTTCAGTTTTTAATTCTTAAATTGGTTCGTGTGCTCGCTCTGATACGCTCTCGTGGTTTTAAATAACTGCCATTATTTTTCCCCTGTTTGTCTTCTTCTCTCCCAGAGACGACTTTTTTTATTACTCCACTTATATGGAATGTGACTCGGAGAGATAGTAAAGAGTCCAGAAGGTATGCAAATTCGTCGGGCCGTGTGCAAATCGTGTACTCTAAGCAAAGCTTTTTGTTTAATTGGAAAAATCCCAGATTGCGGTGCGAATTTACAATCTAACAAAAAATAAAAAAAAATAGGTCCGCAAACGTCTCCTTGCGGCGACCCATATAATCACCAACACGTGTCTTTTCAATTACTTACAGTTGGGGCTATTAAAGTGTCATTTATGCCTCCCCTCACTAAATCAAATCCCTTACCATTAAATATCGCGTTATTCCATCAATGTGTGTGGAAAAATTGATGAGTTGGGCGCAACACGTAGCCGCCGTCTTTGCCTTCGATCGAGGATAATCCGGAATTATCCTGCCGGACCTTTTTGCTCTTTTTTATATCGTGTAAAGGTTGCGCGGACGTAATCAGGTGCCATTTCCTTAAGAAAGCGTTTCTTTTCGTTTCCTCTCTTCGGGTTGAATAAAGCGTGCGTAAGTCGAGAGGAATAAAACGCGACTCGAAGATCCACCCCGGATTTCGATCACGCGAGAGGAGAGAAGAAGAAGAGAAAAAAAAAACGAAAAACACAAGCATTAAGGACGTCCTGATCCCCTTATGGGCCCGGAGTCGGGAACCGAAAGCTCCGGCTTATGATTGGGTCTGGTCACGGCCGAAAAGCTTTACATGTTGACGGAAAAATGGACACGGAAAAGGGGCCAGTGAAAAGTTAATTGGACGATTTCGGGGCGAGAGAGAGGAAAATTCCATTAGTTTAATGAGGGATTTAGTTTTATTAATTATTTATTTCCATTATGTGTTGATTAGTTCGATTGATGGCTTTTCAGAGGGATCGTTTATTATCATT